CTCTGCCAGGGGAGGGTTAGGTTTAGGTATTAGGAAGATATATTTTTATGGAGAGAGTAATTAGACATTGGAATGTGCTGCCCAGGGAGGTGGTGGATTCACCATCCCTGGAAGTTTTCAAGATGAGACTGGATGAGGCACTTAGTGCCATGGTCTAGTAACCACAGTAGGGTTGGACTCAATCTTTGAGGTCTCTTCTAACTCGGTTGATTCTATGATTCTTGCCCAATACATCTGTCCGGATTGAGAATTTTATTTCTACATTTATCAAAAAAAATAGCAAAGAAGAAACTAGGATTCAAGTCAAAAGCACATTTTGCACCAGAATATAAGTATTAGATTTTTCCTTTAAGAAGTCATAGGCTTACTTTCTGTCACATGCTGCTCCCCTTGAAATTCTTCATCAAATACAACATTTTTCAATAAGCTGTTTTCTGGGATTATATGTTTTTCTACCTCAGGTTGAAGCATCACAGCTCTGTTAAAGAGATAAACATGAGTCATTAAATTACACAAAGCACTAGAAACAACAATTTGAAAAGGTTGATAAGACTGGTAAGAATCCAGCACAATTTTCATTTTATCATTTCTCAACTACACCAAGCTCAAATCTGTGAGCATTTGTGGAAAACTGAAATCTTTTCATAATCTTAAAATGGTTAAAGAAATACCTGCTGTATTGCTGTAGAGTGAAAGAAAACACTGAAATAATGGTTGCCATATGTTTGTATTTGTATGATACTTATTCTCTGCTGCCAGTCACACCCATCTACTTTTCTGATAAGTATATCAGGCACCTGAAGGATGTTTCAATCACCACTGCAAACTGGAGAATTCTATTTTGGTTAGAAGTGAAAGCCTTTTGAGAGGCAAAATTGACTAGCCAATGTCAGAGTGGCAGCAGGCACCAGCCAACAGCACAAACAAGGAGCCAATGAGCATGACTGCCAACAGCATATAAAAGACTGGGAGGCATGGGGATATAAATAGTCCTGGGAGAAATGGGAAGCTGCAGATCTGCAAGACTAAACCTGGCATTCAGACAGGGTCAGAGCCATGGAGGTGGAAAGAATACCTGAGAACAACTAACCCTCAGGTCTAAACTACTTACCAGACTGCTGACTATATAAAATTTTGGAGTAAAGAACTTGAGGCACAAGTTGATGGGCTAGGCAGAGTACTCGTTCCACATTCTGATGCCTAAGTCCCAAACTATGTCCTCATTCTAGTGAACAATTACAGATTAGGGTTTGTCTGCCTCACAGCACTCAGTTATTTCAAGAAATAAGCATCTCTTTCAAATTGTCAAGAGAGATTTCAGAGAACCTCCCACCCAAAACTGACCAGCTAGACCTCTATTTTTGAGAGCCAAATGCTATGCCTGCTGACTAATAAAATCAGCAACAAATAATTTCACTCACATACCAATGTCCAGAGTCTGAATAAAAGAGTTTCCAACACTACCTGTGTAGTCACATCAAGCTTCTAAATGGGTATTCTGTTAATCTGCAGATCAAAACTTTTCCCTAAGTACTTTTTCCCTTTGAGAAGGATTCTATGATAGTCAGCATTGTCTCACACAAGAGTTCATACAAAACTCAGGAACAAGCATCTTCCAAAATCTACAATAAGCCAGTTTTCTATCAAGGTCACAAACACAGCTGTTCCATGAGCTTTTTATTCAAAGTCATGCAGTTAAGTTCAGCTATGTTTAATACTTCATTTGGACGACAATATACACAATGACTTTCACACATTGTCAGGCAATCACATTTAAAAGGTATAGTGAAATGCTGCCGTTCTCACTTCTTCAGTTTTGCACTGAATTATGATCAGCAGCACCTGAGTGCTCTACCTAGTCTTAACATTCTGCATTACACTATACACCATAGACAGCACAAGTCAAAAGTGTTACTCAAGTCACTGAAAGCAGAGCAAGTCATTTTCGTGTGTTATACAAATTGAAAAGGAGAGTAACACAGTCTTTAAGATAGCAAGATTATTAGTGCGTTACAAGCGTATATGGATGTTATTTCTCTCATATACACATCTACTCAAACACTGTCTTCGTCAACAGAATTCAACAAACCAAGGCATGAACCCTGTTCAAAGCTTAATACTACTAGATTTCAGTACTAGAACTTTTATTAGCTGTTTCTTTAAGCTACATATGTATTGGAAAGAGATACTGAGATAGACCACAACTCTTTTCCAATACAAAATAGAAAACATTGCCCCAAAACCCAGCACATTTGAATTGAAGAATGTTAAAAGAGAGTCAAACCCGCAACTGGAATTGTAGCTACAGTACGTAAGCAAAGCCACAAATGAACAAACCAAACCACCATCAACAATTTAGAGGTGCAAGATTCATACACCTCTTCCTATCATCACTGTCTTTTTTTATTTTGTTCTTGCTATTTTTGGAAGCATGTTAAAACTATACTTGTGGCAGCACACATCTCTACTTTTAAACTTTTTATTAAACTCCTGTCTGTTACAAAAGCAAAGTACATCTTACCTGCGATACTGCTGTCTAGAAACTTCATCTCCACAAAAAAAACACACTGTCGATACCAACGCGTTTGTGCCATGGATGTTTCTTTCCATTGGATTCCATGTTACAGTAACCACCTGATAAAACAAACAGACAACATACTCAGGGAAAAAAGTGTTATTGTTAGTATTGATGTTTGGAATACAAGTCAACAAATTACTGCAATACAAGTGAAACAGGACATAGCAAAAATGAGGTGAGATTTTTCTAAGGAACTGGACCCACATTTTCATTGATCACATTAATAAAAGTTGTGCAGAATCAAGGATTGTACTTACTTCATGTGTTCCTTCTCTTAGCACAAACTTCTCTGGAGATACCTTCATTAGCCCAGGATCCATCACTGTTTTGGACTGTAGGTTTGACAAGCACAGTGCTTTAACATAGGCAGCCCGAGAGCCTACGTTTCTCACGTGGAAGGAAGTTTTACTTGATCTTTCAGATGGTAATTCATGCAGTGTAATCAGGTAACTATCTGACAATTTTTTAACATTTTCTAAAATTATCTTGCTTGCTCCTCCATATCCACCTAATGGTATCTGGGAGAAGAAAAAACCAAAAACCATCACTTAAAAACCAGTACTTCAAATCAAAGTTTCTTAGTAAAACTTCTGTACAACCACGGTAAACAATATAAGGAGTTACAGGAAAAACAATGTTTAAAATGTGAGCTGAATACCTCGAAAAAATTTTAAAAGCTATATTTATTCAGTCTTTTTCAAGTGTACTTAATATTGGTTTAAGACCTACCTATACAACAAGACAAGTTCAGATTTCTTGACAATTCTAGAGTTAAAATCTTAGGCTACCTTAAATATAGTATATCAAATACATTTCATTCTTCCTTCACAAAGAGAAAAATTGCATGCAAAACTGACACTAATGTTCAAACTGTAAAATTTATGAAAATTATACATTTAAAATTATTACAAGTGAGGTTGAAACTCTTACAGTAAACTTAATTCCTGGCTGCAGACGAATCCCCAACAGTTTGATTTCCAACTTTGCAAAGCAGCAAGTTACTCGAGTAGGTGTAAACATCAGGTGTATGTTAGTATCTTCCTTGGGACGGATCTTGAGTTCCCAGCTACGAGTTAAGCGTTCTTCTGATCCAAATATATTCTGCAGCTACAAAAAGACATCAGAAGTGAGTGCCTACAGCAGGGAAAACACACAGCAGCAGAACTTACTACACTAGTAATTCAGAACTAACTCCTTCAAAATCTGGATTAACTCAGTTGACAATGGTATATATTTAAAGTTGCAAAGCTCAATATGCAATAAAAAAAGACCAAATTCAAGACACTTTACATTCTCACAATGAGCATGTTAGTGCCTCTCAATTTAGACAGTTTTTGTCTTCAATCCTGAGTACGGTAAGCCTGATACCAGGACTGTGTTAATTCTCTCTCAGTTTAATATTTCAGATAAAAGATCTGATTACCTGAGGGAAAAGGGGATATAAGCATATGTGAGCTATACAGCAATAAACCCTTTAGCTACGGTAATTCCCGAAGGCTAATCCCAGGGTTTCTATCCCCAAGTGGACTCCGTCCTGCAAGAAGGGTCACTGAGGGATCACTTCAAGTATTGACTCTGTTGTGATACAACAGCTTAGTGAGCTGTAAACTGAGCTTCAGTTTGCTGCAGCACTCTTATTTCAGCTGTTCCCAAGATTGCCAGTGTAGCTTAAGGTCTGCTACCACGTTCATCTTGGCAGTCTCAAAACAAATATAGAGCCTGCTAACACTTCAGGGCAAAAACATTTTGGTTATAAACACAGTTTGATAAGTGTCATAAACACTAAAGAGAAATTTTAATGACAGCCACCTGAAAGCAGTCTTGATCCTGGCCTCTTATCAACAGTCTTAAATGCTGTGTCTCAGACGGAGAGTCATTTCTTAGAGTTAATGTCTTCTGTCTGAAAAATATGTTTAGCAATATTTTACAGCAAATACAAATTAACTGCATATATTTACTCAGGGAAACAATGGAAATAGGAAAGTCAATTTTGAAGTAATTTAATGGGGGGAAAAAATCACCTCCTGGAACAACAAAATATGTTAGCTAGAAAGTTATTTCTATACTCCCAAACTTACAGACCTTACAATATTGTGCACCATAACACATGAATGCATATAGCAACATAATCCCAATACACATAACTGCAGCTTTTCTGAAGTTCAAGTACTGTACTTAACAGCCTGAACTCGAAAAGCAAGCAGCAGCTCTTTCAATACAAACCCCCTTAAAAATCCCCACTTTAGGACACAGTTACGATTAGATTATCCAGAGCCACATAGTTATTTAAAACCAGAACCTTGTTAGTCATCTGACCCCCAGATTCACTGGAACAGTTGAGAACAACTAAATGAAGGATAACTTTTCCTTTTCATGTACTTTTCAATGTGATAGTACCATAGACAGTTATGGTCATTTGGCATAATCAGGTTGACCAAAAAGGAAATCTTTTTCTTTCTGACACATCCTTGCACTGACCAGGCTTCTGGTACTCAGATCTTTCCTCAGAGGTAGGAAACATACCCAGCCAGAAGAGCAAGTGCCTGTGACATTTTAAAAAGTCAAAAAACATTCACAGAAGGCTGTGACAAGCTCTAAAACTGGCAAAAACATAAGAGAGCAGATCATGCAGTTAGAATCAAAGAGAAGGACAAAGAGAAAAAGAGCGAGAGCAAAGCCTCTCCCTGATTTTCAGTGGCAAACACTGTTTGTACTGCTTTGGAACAAAAATTATAAAAAAATTCAGCTTCCAAAAACAAAGGGCTCTTCTTAATTTTTATTTTCTGTTCCTTCTGCAGATAATGGTAGCAGTATACAGGAAATAAACAGTAATTCACAAACAAAAAAGAGCCCAAGCTACTATGTCAGAAGAACACTACCTTAACAAAACAGAAAAACAGAAATATAGCTATAAAACAATTCTTGGTTACAAACATGGATCACTTTTAAACTATAGGGAACACTGTTAGATTCCTCAAAAAGTTCAGTATCCACCAACAGTGGATTAGTCCCCAAAGTAATACTGCCTAGAAGTCCAGAGATCTGCAAAGCTGCAGCCTTTACATACAAAAGAAGCAAAGTATATCCAAACAACTATGAACAGTTGCACTAAAGCATTGAATCATTGAATACTGAACCCGTAAGCTTGAAACTAGGAGTCCAGACAAAAACTAGACTGAAGGATAAAACAATCACAATTAGAGACACAATGGATTCTCCACCACTAGAAGTTTTAACATCGGAACGCATTCAAATTCAAATAAATTAGGGGATGTTTGACAGTCTATGCTATTCAGATGGTCAAAATGCATTACCAGACTGGATTCTTTCAGTCTCAATGGATGAACTGAAGTAAAACAAGCAAAATTTACCTGTAGCAAGAGATGTGTCAAAAGAACCAACAAAAGTTTTCCACCAACTTAGAAAATATTTTTCTCCTCACTTCTACTTACATGACAAACTACACTTCAATATTCAGGTATTAGTCTAATGAGAACTAAAGAGTCTTCAAAAATACAAAGCTCAAACAAGATCATGGTTTGTTTCCAAAAATTTCTTGCACAAGAAAAATAATTGTAGTATACTGCTTCCCTCACCTGAGGCATAAAACAGCTTAGTTTATCACCTGTGGATTATTGATATGAACAGGAAATTTTACTTCAAATAAGCACAATATAAAATGCTTCACATGATATTCTATATGAACAGCTGTCCATACTTACACTGATGATCCAATTGGTACAGGTCCCCAGGCAATGAACTGCTTGTTGGAGAGGATGGGTGGGATGTCTGAGCACTCAGCAGCTGTAGACACAGGTCTGTTTTGCTCGGTCTCCACCTCACATTTTACTACCACTTCATACTGAGGCCCAGATGGCAGCACAAGGATTTTCAAAGTACTTGGAAAATAAATAAATAAATAAATAAAAATCCCACAACAGAACAAGATTAGGTGACGAAAACAAAACGTAACTGAAAAATAGATAGGCCTTTTCAAACTACCTTCTTGTGGGGAAAATAAAAATACTTGGGTTTATCTTATGACAAAGGCCAGCTTCAGGCACAGTAAAATTTAAATCCTTAGGACAGTAAATATGCATGCCACATGTACCTCACACACTCTTCTGAGGTATTTCATCTGGAAATTGTTCAGGTAAGCATTACAGAGACTACAACCAGGCAAATTACTTTTTGCCCATACTAATTTCTGATTATTTTGACAGACTAATTTTGGAAAGAAACAAAGTCTGGCTGTCTCTGTGTAAATTAAAGAGATGCTTTTTGAATGTCTTGCAAAACTATTTAATTTACACAAGTGTGAGACATCCAGGTGCCTCAAGGAAAGACATCAAGCTTTTAAATAACAGGCTGAAACATTTGCTGTAGCACAGAGAGGAACAAAACGCAAGAACCTCCATTCTAGCTGTAAGTGAATTCCTATGATGTTTGCTGACAGAGCCCTGCATCGCACTAGCAGGGAACATGGACTCCTGTTACTGCCTGAGTTAGTTTATTAGTTTTTTGGCAGCACTTGCATGTAGACTGCCAAGTTTCCAATCCTACACTTGAGTACCTTGAGCCCATAAAGCAAAGCAGCTACACATAATGTCACAGGAAAGCAAAGACTAATCCCTCTGCATGCCTATCCAATAGGATCATACTGTCACTAGCAAAGAATCTCTTAGCATTAATTTAATGCACTGGGTAGGCCTGGTTAAGCTAGACAGTGAAGCTGAACATATTTTGAAGATATTCTATGTCCATTCTTGCTCTGTTACAGCCCAAACATGTAACAAAAAAGGAAAGGCTGCTCTGGACAGACAAGTCAGACCCCTGCCACTGCTAAAACCTCTTACATGACACCAGAACTGTCACTTCAACCAATCTAGTACATTTCACAGAATGAAGTTCACCAGGCGTAAAACTATGAATGTTTCATCTGCAAAAGGAACATGTACATTAGTGTTGTACAGAATTTACAGCCAAACTTCTATTTGATTATGGCAGGCAAAGTTGATGAACACTTGTGATCCCAATCTGTGCTTGAGGCTTTTTCACATGTGAAATACAAATAACATTTCCCTTGTCTTAGCAGACTGTAGAAGAGGGAAGAAACTGAATGGGCTGCTGAAGGCAAGGACTTAGAAGCTTTGATGTACTTTAGAGACAATTGCCATATAAAGGGCTCCAGGGACTTCCTCCATTTATTTGCACTAAACAAGTCTCAAAGTATTTCTTGATGAGAAATATTACCTATTCATTAAGCTATACACAGCAGAAGAAGCAGATAAACTATGGAGAAGGTGAACCCTAGCAAAAATCTACTTTGTATTGAGTGAAGACACTTGAAAACAATGAAAGTCAGTGTACCTTGTAGGTAAAACTTTCCATTTGTTGATTACTTTAAGGACAAAAATAGTTCAGTTTAACACAGGCAGCACTGAATCAGTTTTATTACCTTTCTGTAGTAGTTATGCTTTCTGGAGAAAACAGGACAGTCACTTCTTGTTCTTCTCCAGGAAGAAGGAAAAGGCTCTCAGGTTCAACAGCAATGCAGCTGTCCTGATCTGATGTCTGAAAGCAGACAAGGGGAAAAGGAAGTGTTGGTTACTTATTTTAAGGGAGCAAACATTTCTACAACATGTAACACAACTTGCATGTGCATCTGTTGTACCGACAACCCAAATACACTTGGCACCTTAAAAACCACAACCAATTAGTATCCAATATCATCTAGTTATTGTGGCATTTGTGGTACTAGTCATACATTCTATTTCCATGGCCCCTAATCCAAGAAATGATGAGTTCACAAAACCTCAATTTAATTTTTTTTAATGTAAAATAGGACCAACTGCTCCCCCCATTGACTTTGAAATGCTAGTTTCAAATATGTTTAGTTACCTTCCAATCTGGGATCACACTTACTACAGATTCTCAAGAAAATTAAAGTCAAGTAAAGACATTGCGTATCTGAAAAGAACTCGTGCCATATTTAGGTTGGCAAGATGTACACTGAAAACTAATACAGCTTTGTTACGAAGTGCAGATGTTTCCCAATGCTAATATTCATCTTTGCTCTAAACAGGCTTGACTCTACTAGCTAATTAGCTCCTGCTGTGCAGCACAGGATTCACTACTTTTACATATCTGTCATATGCTTGTTAAAACTCAGTATAAAATCATAGAGGTATGTTTGTTAAAACAAATATAACTGAAGTTGAGCAACAGAACACCCATATGCTTCTACTAATAATGTAAGCTAAACCCTTTGCTTTCATTCTCTTCACATGAAGTTGTAAACCTTCTGTCAAACCACAGAGCTGAGCTAAAATCCCAAGGCTCAGCTCTACTTTCAATACAACATCAATGGCAAGAAAAATCACAATTTCAAGAGGGAAAAGCCAACCTACCTTAACCTTCAAATGTACACCAATGTTCCCAGCATTTTTCAATGGCAGCTGCTGCTTGACTGTTGAACCCACACTAGTAGACAGATGCATGGTCTGTAAAAAGTAAGTGTGTGTGTATGTATATATACATACATAATAAAACTAAACATCACAAAAGAAGTAGGCGAAGAGAGGCAAACTATTCTGGAAACACACTTTGTAAATGCACACAAACCTGTAAGTCCTTAGGAGCATGTATCCTTGCTGTTCCAGCTCTTGCTCGGAGAGGAATACTTTTAATCACAGTGCTAGGTCCTGCGCTATCCACTTCCACATCCACTCGTGCCAAGAACTCATCAGCTGGACCCAAGGAATCTAGAAATGGTTTCGTAAGTAACAAAGGCAAGCAAGTCTGCTAATAGCAAAGGACATTCCTATGGATGTGCCTCTCATGTCAGCTACTGTTCAATCTTCACCTATTGATGTTGTGGAGATACTAACAGAAGCTCTGCCATTACTCTGGCAACAGTGGTTTCTCCCTCTTTTAAATAGAGTCTCACAAGATCTTATGTAAGAGTTTTACCTTTCCGTAAATACGACTGAAATTGCCCCTAATGCAAACAACAACAGCAAAATCTTACCATACCAACTGAACTAGCTGATGTACGTACTATTTTCTATTCAGTAAGCCAGAAAAATTCAAATGTTCCTTCAAATTTATGTATTTCTCATCTATTTTGCAACCAATGCAATGCTCTCTGAAGTGATGAGTAACACAAATTCCACACATCTTGCAGTACACACTTTGTACAGCTTGCTACTGAAGTATAAATGTCCCTGATAACATACAAAGGATTAAGACATAGAAGTTCTGCCTCTACAATTACTAAACCTAAATGTGATACCCAAAATATTAGGACACACAAACCAAAGACGACTATTTCATTTCAAGTCTGCAGCCTGCTCCTGCCATTCTAACAGATGCATACATTGTAAGTCAAATTTTTTTCAGCTGAAACAAAAATCAGATTGCTATACCTGAACAAGAACTTTGTTTCTTAGGTGCATGGAACAGAACCCAAACAGTTAAAGCTTCAGGATCCTGGAAAAGAAATTGTTTGACTCGTCTTACAGGAGAGAGAAAATTATTAAGAGATAAAAAAATAAACCCGAACAAAAAACTACCCATAAAAATCAAACAAAACTATACTGCTCAAATAGGTAGCCAGCAAGCAACAGCAAAAATCAGCCAAATACAAACTACTCACTTGCCCATCATAGCTTGCATGTATCACATGATTTATAACTGATGGAGCTGCTGCCTGAGAAACTGCATCCATCTGGAGGGATTGTTCATTAGAAGTATTAACTGGTTCCTTGGAAAAGGTGAAGCAACGCCAAGCTACTGCATTCTGTCAAAGAAATAAAAAGTATTACAAGGATTCAATCTCCTATTCTCACTAACAACAATGCTGATGAAGCTGAGCAATGCAAGACAAGTTTTGAATGATCCATGTTGTATAAAAAAAGACAAAAAATTAGCCTATAGTTTCACTTAGAATATGATAGTCTAGCATATCCTCTAAAAATAGTCTAAAATACTTCTGAATCCAGACAGTTGAAGCCTTCAACAAGTTTGGCTGTTCAAGACCAAATGTCACTAGTCACCAAGAAAACCTGATCCACCTTAATATAAAGCCAGTCCTTTCTTGTTCCCCCACATAAAGGCAACAACAGCTCTTCCCACAGCACAAAGCAGCAGCCAGTCTACCCAAACCCCTGAAATCCACATTGCCACAGGGATGCAGGGAGGAGCACAGTGTGGCCTGTAATACAGATTATGATTCTCTAGTGGGAGACAAAGCAGAGAGAGCAAAGGGTCCTGCTCTTGCTCCTGCACAGAAAGAGAGAACATGTTAAACTTGCTAGAAGCAAGCTTGGCTGCTTGTTTGACCAGTCAGCTGTTCCATTGAAATAGTGGAATACGTCTCCAGCTTCTCAGGGGGAAGGCTTAGGCAAAACAACATTTTTTGCTATCTGCTGCCCTGTGCTATCAAAGCAAGCATCGGAGGCAGGAGTCCACGGCTAGGCTATAAAAACTAACACACACACACACACACAAAATGAAAACCCACACCTATCCCAGAAGCACTTTTGTTGGTGCAATTGCAGTAGAATCAGATTACCACCCTGCCAAAATAATTTATGCCCTGACTAACCAGAGACTTCTTGGGAGACTTACATCCAGTGTCCAGGGTTTATTTCTTAATGATAGATAACATAAGGTGTTTGGGTATTAAAATTCAGTATCGCAAGACGTTAACTTCCCCATACAGGAAGTTTACTGTACTTACTGCATTAACAATAAGCCTAATTGGCACAAAAGCATGGGTTTTGTTGATGAGTTTTAGAGGAAGAGCCTTCCAACTGCCAGAAGTCAAGTCACCAAAATCGAGACAATCTCCTTTTCCTGCTTCCACCTGGTTTTAAGACAAAGCAGAACTTAGAAGGATGGGAAAAAACCTCCAAAACACACTCCAGCATACAAAAGCACCAGGAAAGTAAGAATGCTATTCACCTATTCCATCCTCTTAATGCTATAAAGCACATACAATACAAATCTCCCACCAGGGGTAGGAGGAGTCTAAGAAACATTTCCTTTGATATTATAAGGGGTTACGGCCAACAGACAATCCCTCACATATTCTGCCTCAATCAATTAAGCCAATCTTAGTGCAATGTTTATCCACCAAAAACCCAGCACACAACCAAATTATTTTGGCTAAGTTAAAATAAAAGTAAGTTTAAACCATTATTATTGCTAGCAAGTAAGTATTGTCAGTTTTATATAGTTAAAAAGTAATTTTAGCAAGTTAAAAGGTGAGAAAATAACTAAGGGGAAATTAATTTTTGCTAGCATAAAAACATTCAAGTGTCATGACCTGCAGCAAAATACAACTTTTATTTGGTACTTTTTCCAGTCTCAATAATATAACAAGACATGCAGAGATAGAGCATAGGATTTAATTTGAACTTAAATACAAGGTAAGTCTAAAGAACTATACCATGAAGAAAGGAGGATTTCTACAAACTGCATATAAAAATATATTAAAATTTATGGAAGAAGCATTAAAAATTAGATCCATTCATGTGCATTCATTACTTTAAAACATACACTTAGCCCAAAGTAAGTTAACAGAACACCTTAAAATGGAAAAAAAAATTGTTAACTGCGGCTAATGAGCGCAAATTTTACTTTTATCAACAGTGTCAAAGACTACCATGTAATTTGTTCAGGCACCTCCAAAAGTATCATCAAGCCCATTTCTGTCTGTCCATACTCTTAAAATTAAGACTGCATGAAGCCAGATTTAGCTCTTCATGTGACACAGTCTCTCACCTAGCTGTTCTTCATGATAAAACAAAAGACACAGCATTTTATACATCCACTTACTTTAAAATTTTAATTAGTCCAAAATAAGAAAATATTCTCTACAACTATAAACAAGTTGGAAGGGATAAGAAACCAAAGCACAGTCTACCTGATGTAAAAAGTAAAGAAATACTTACAGTTGGAAATAAATGGCTTTTGGTATATTTCATGTGCATAGAAAGCATTAGATGCTTAACATCTCATCCAGTCTTAAAGTAACACCTTTTAATTTATTGTTTTCAGACAGAATCCTTTATTTCCAGATAGGTGCTTTTCCACAACTAGAACTTCAGACAGCAGTAAGTTTCTCCAACATTCTTTTATATTCCCTTCACACTCAAAGCTTATGAAATTCCAGGTTTCTCTAAGGAACAACCTCACATTCCTATTATCTGCTAGTGTCATTTAACTATTTATAAAATTGCAACAACAAAAAACCCCACAATAAGTAGCTACTTACTTCTAAATTGGGATTTTCAGCCACTGCTGTCAGAACTACTCTACTTGCCAAAGCTTCTGACTGAACTATTGTCTCAGCATCTGCAGACACTGGCCAAGATGAAACATTAAGAATGAACTGAAAGACCCCCGAGTGAAGAGGTAAGAAAAGTATTTTCAGATCGTTGGTAGAATAGGATCCTACGATGGTTCTGTTCTTGAAAACCAGACATTGGTATTTCGCAACATCCATCTGAAAAACAAAACCTCTGTCATTTTCAACAGGCCTTTTGCCAGAAGACAGCTGCTTTCCAAATACCATTTATCTGGCACCACTGTTCAGCACAGACAATTTGTATATGTTTTTCCTCCATTTAATTAACGCATCTTCATATCCATATCTCACTCCCACCACACTCAACTGTAGGCATTTTCTTTTAGTTTAAAGAGGTAAGTCAGCCTGAAAGTTGCTGGGGTTTCTTTCCAGCATCTAGTGCAAGATTAACACTGGGATTATAGTACTTATTATAGCTGAAAAATAATTCCTAAGTAAAACTCTGATTTTTGAGAAAGAACAGCAGCAAAATAAACAAAGCCAATTCTACTTTGTGCTTTCTGCCATCGAAGATGGGAAGAAGAGATATGGTTGAAGAGTAGTGAAAGGTCAGTATATAGAAGTCACCTGTAAATCCTAGTGCAAATGTCTTAAAGTTTCTGTTCTGAACATATTCATAGACAAGTTTCAAGCAGGAGAGAGAAACTGTAATTCATACTCAATATATCTCAGAGTTGACTAAAAAAATGGGGTTTAATTATACTGTGCAAAAAAATGTACACATTTTTTCATGGAAACTGTAAAGGAATTTCATTTAAAAATCACCTCTTGATACAACAGAATCTCAGGTTAGAAGAGCTGCATAAAAAAAGCCCCATGATACTGAGTGATTAGAAAAATATGTAAGAAACCTTAACTCTTATATGCACGTGTATATATACACAGAGAACTGCAGTTCGGTGCTCTTTAAAGAGGAAACATTCCAAGAAAAAGAGATCAAACCCAGAAATTATACTCCTGGAAAGACACATGCTACATCTGCTGGAACAACATAGCTAAGGAGGGATGTGATCAGGATTTATAAGACTTACTATCTCCAACATATAAAGCGAATCATTGTCAGCTACTTCTCAGTGATACAGAACAAATCAAAACAGCAAGAAGCAGATTTTTTAAAAAAAGAAAAAAGCAATACTACATACAATCCACAACTGAACTGTGGACAACACTACATAATTTCAAAGTATTAACTTGATAAAGAGCAGCCCACCAAAAACTAACTAGGACAGAAATAATCTCTATCACAAAAAGTTCCCAAGCATCAATCTGCCAGAAGCTCCAAGTACCTTACGCTTGTTCTGTTGGTATATTCTTCTCTACTAACTGTATATATCAGCAAAGGAAATTAAATCATACTGATGGAGCTTTAATCTAACCCATTCTCATGTTCTTGAGGTATTTTACCTCTGGAACTATTACTGTGATAACAAAGTAGATAGGATTTAATAAAATTCAAGCGCAAGATGCTCAATCTATGGCCTATACTTGCCTACAATCCACAGAACAACTGATCTACCCTGAACCCTGCTCCAAATATTTCTCCTTCTCCATCACTTAAGATCTCCTGATTTTAAGAAAAATGGGAGCAAACCACCAAAAATGTTTTAGGAGTAATTGTCATCAGCATGAATCCTTTCCTTCCTAGGGCTGTCTTTTCTTGCCCACACAAAGGTGGGAATGAATACCCAGCAAACTCAAACCTACCACACTGTGCACACAAAACAATTGTACAAGTCAATCCCGTGGTGTGGCATTTACCTCTCAAAGACTACTTGTTGGAGGGTAGCACTGCTTTGTGCATATTCATCATTAAACAGGGCAAAAATGATAAATCTGTACAGAGGGCTCTAATTCTACATGCAACATCTGGTAAGATGACAGCATTATTCAGACTAAAAAAAAAAAAAAAAAAAAAGAGATCTCTTACCTTTTCCCCATTAACTGAAACACTGAGTATCCCAATGCTGACCTGCAACCAGCGGTCAGTGGGATTGTAAATGCTAAGAACCGTCTGTGATGCGATTCCCACACAACAGGCGTTAGGGAACTTCAGTTCTTCTGGTACTTTTACATGTCCTTAGGAAAAAAATATTCTCCTGTTAGTTCTGAGTACCCAGAAGCAAATCAGCACACAGGCTGCCACCATGTCAAGCTTAGAAACTCCTTTGGCAAATGCTTCATTATGGCAAGGAAATGTTTGATTCCTACAGTTCTTATAAGGATGTTTTCCGTAAGTCCGAAACTTAAAATTTCAATCGTTTCTAATTTGCATCTTACTTGAAGTTCTATTGCCACAAAAATAAATACTCATGGAAATAGCACATTCCTTGCAGATGCACAAAGTGTATGTATACAACTCACACAACATAATCCGTGGTCACAATTTATTCAGTACTAGCCCAACTCAGAAAATCTGAGTATCAGTATTGACACTGTGTTAATATAAAGACAAGTAAAAAGTAAGATTGATCAAATTTCACCATGTTACAATGCACTAACAAGATCAATGATTTAGAACAGTCAATAAACAAGGTATAAGCAGCCACAAATTCTAACCTTCAACCCCACTGTTTTGTCATTTTGACTGAAAGAATTAGCCAGAAAAAAAAGCGTAACAAAAAACCACTAATGAGATCACAGGTTAAAGGAAGTTTTTCAAATGAAATACTCATTTGCAATGGTTAGGTTTAGAGCTAAGTCACGATACAGAGCAATAGCAGAAAGGACAGAAGACACTTAGGAGCTTGTGTTTCTCCTTCATAACCAGCAAACAGTTTAAATCCTCCACTCTCCTCCTTGGAGCTTTGGCCCTAAGCCACTGCTAATGCCAAATTAGGCTGAAAACAGAAATGTCATCTACTTTCTAGGTAAAATACAACAGAATTTCCAGAGCATGATTTGTATTGCCTAGTAAAAACTGCAGCCAGGATTTCTCTTCTTCCTATGAAAGGCAGTTCTAGATCACTTACACAAACACAAAACTACTGAATGCTGAAGAACACTGAAATACTTCTAAGTTATGAGAAGTTTCATTTAAGACCATTAGGGAGGCTACAAGAATAGACACTGAGTTAAGAGAACATCATTAAACAAGGAAAATAGCTAATAGGTATCTTTTTAAATAACAAAGCTGGCATAAATAATAACTGCAGTTATACTCAGTAGTCCTCTTAATTTTATTTACTATAGTATTAGCAATATTGCTATCACCATTCTTGTCCACAGCTGTATTTTAAACACACTGCAAAAAAACACACTTACCAATACCAGGTGACTTTGACAACTCCCACTCATTTCTACCAGCTCCAAGAGGCAGTCCAGGACATGATTTTATATTTAAGATATTATTATTCCATGAAGTAGAGTGTGGATAAAATGAAGTTGCACTCAAAGAGCCAGGACCAATACCTGGACCTAAAGGAATTCCTACCAAAAGCGGATTCTCAACATGTCCTGTTGGGATGCCAGAACATGGAAGCCCCGCTGAAAGGCCAAAACCTGCAGAGCTGCCACCATGAAACTGAGGCAGAACTGTATTAACAGGAGATGGTATATTTCCCAGATGCTGCTGTGCAAATGGAGTTGTGGCAAGAAGATGTCCTGTAAGCAAGGTGGGAACAGATGAAGAAATTGCTTGACTCTCAGAGGTAGAGACATGGGACTTAAAGGTTGAAATAGGAACATACTGTCCACCAGATGAGTTTTGACTGCATGGCACGTAAGTCTTTAACCCAGAATATATGGGTAAACCTTGTCTCTGTGCTTTGCTTGTTTGATCCTGACACACTTCTCGTGCATCAGCATTGACAGAAAGTGGCTGAGAGACAGAGAATTTACTTGGTACACCTGATTTAACATGGTCTAGCTCTTTGTGATTTGCTGTTACGTTTGAAGGAATAGATGCAAGCTGCTTTTCAGTCTTTGAAAAACCTTTGGGCAGTTCTTGAACCAGTATATTATCTAAATTTCTCTGAAGACCTGCAAACTCATTTTCTTCTTGTTTCTGGTCAATACTACGTAGTGCTTCTTTTCTATTTCTTTGACATGAGTGGTCTTGCAGATTTTCATTTGTGTGTTCCTGTGAAGGAGCTGGGCTGGCTCGAATTATCGTTGTGCTCAGTTCACTAGCATTTTCAGCCTGGTAAACAAATAGAACATGCAGTATTACATACTTTAGAGAAGCAAATCGGGTATATAAGACAGACCTTAATACAAGTATTGCCTATAAAAGAAACCTTCCTGTCTGACTATTATTGGTACTGCCACCCAATATAAATAATCAAGTCTATCAAGTCTCCTCTGAAGTTTCACTTTTGTAACAACTGCAGGTCTTTGCCTTGAACAAGAACACCTGTAACCTCAACCTGTCTGCTATGCAAAGTCACATTCTACTGAGTCTGGCTGGGATAGAATTAATTTTCTTCAGAGCAGTCCCTATGGTGCAGTACTTTTTAGATTTGTGTCCAAAACAACCAGTGTTTCTGCTACCACTGAGCAGTGCTTGCACAATGTCAAGGCCTTCTCCATTTCTCACTCTGCTGCTCCAGAGTAGGCTGGGGGTGAGCAAGAGTTAATGCAGGGACAGAGTCAGGACAGCTGACCCAAACTGACCCAACAGAGAATCCATACCATGAAGTATTATGCTCAGCAATAAAACTGTGGGGGAATTTTTCCAAAGTAGCAGCTTCTTGGAGACCACATGGTCATTTGTCTGTTGATAGCAAATAATTGATCTTACACCATTTTGCCCCTTGCCCTGATTCACTTATCAAACCATCTTTTGTCTCAACCCACAAGTCCTCCAGGCTGTCCTTCTACCCTTCCAATTCTCCCTTCCATTCTGCTGGAAGGATGGGGGGGAGCCCTTAGCTACCACCTAGGGTCAAACCAGCATACTACACATTAACACTAGAAGAATGCTTTGCTCTCAGAAGTCACCATCAACTAAAAGAATTACCACAGGGCCAAAAATTTTTGCCTTCCTATGATTTTATAAAGTCACTCTGTGGGCAAACAACTGTACTATAAAAAAGCTAAATGCAGCAGATTCCTAAACTCACTGTCAGTTTCCCAGACAATATTACCCTAAAAAACAGAACCCTGCAGTGAGTTGTCTTATTTGTTGTGTTTGGATCCAATACCAGGAAGACTTTCTCATTTAAAAATCAAATAAATCACCGAACAGCATCCAGGTGTGGTATAGATTATTTCTCTCCATATCCTTTATGACTTTCTTGAACGCAAAGGTGCTTAGTAAGGCCTAAGTCTCTTTCAATGAGAAACAAGAGTCACCAAGTATAAAGAGTCCACTAACAAAATACTGATGTGATTAGGTATCAAATCCATACTTCAGGTTCTTAGTAAAAGCTAATAACCTAGAAGCTTAAGTTATTGTAACATCATAGCAGACATTATTTTTTTGAGGACAAAACAAAAACAGACCAAAGCACTGAAAGACACAATTTCCAGCTTTGTAAGGAAATAAAGGTAGGAACTGAATGGCCTTGAACCAATCACTAATCAAGTGGATTCGGGATGCGTGAAAATGGAACTGACACAAACATTTTCTTTGTGCACAAAGAAATCATTCAGGTGCAGAGACCTTCCACTTTAGACAGGCATGCATGGTGTAGCTAGAATGAGCACACCTCACCCCCTTTCTCAGTTCCTCTTAGTCGAGTCTTAAGAGATTTTTACTTAGAAATCAAACTAAGAGAAAAACAAGTACAAATCATAAATACACATACACAAAATGTCTTTCCAGGATCCTCCTATTGGGTTAACTGTCAAGAGCAAAGATGATTACACCTTCTCATGCACTGTTCATAGCTACTAATAACATCACTGACACTAATCAGTAGATGAGGACTGACCATAGAAAAACCACCCTCCCACAACTGGCATCACACTTCGCTGCCTTCACAATGGAAATGTGGATGGAACTCCTGGGTTGCATCAAAAGCACTGTGGCCAGCAGGTCAAAAAAGGCGATTCTCTCTCTCTACTCTGCTCTCGTGAGATCCCACCTGGAGTACTGCATCCAGCTCTGGTGTCCCCGATATGAGAAGGAAATGGAACTGTTGGGGCAAGTCCAGAGGAGGGCCACAAAGCTGACAGAGGACTGGAGCACCTTCCCTACAAAGATAGGCTGAGAAAGTTGGGGCTGTTTGGCCTGGAGAAGAGAAGGTTGCATGGAGACCTCGTAGCAACCTTCCAGTATCTAAAGGGGCCTACAGGGAACCTGGAGAAGGACTCTTCATTACGAACTGTAATGATAGGACAATTGGAAGAGGGAAATTTAGGTTAGATGTTAATAAGAAATTCTTTACTGTGAGGGTGCTGAGACACTGGAACAAGTTGCCCAGGGAGGAACCCTGGCAGTGTTTGAAGCCAGGCTGGATAAAGCCCTGAGCAACCCGAGCTATTGGAAAGTGTCCCTGCCCACCACAGGAGGAGTTGGGACCAGATGATCTTTAAGGTCCATTCCAACCTCTTAACATTCTATGATTCTATAACTCCAGGCATCTCCCATGCCAATCTGAAAAATGAAAGTGGTCCCTAGATGTGCTGCAAGGTTCATTTTTCTCTTGTGAAGTATATCCATATCACAGATTGCATTTGCAAAAACTGAGTTTCAAAATAATCTTTTTAAAAAGTTTCAGAACCAAAACTAGACAGTGTTGTATCAAAGCAATCAGACATCAGCTCAGGATACACTTACCTAGAAACTCTGACCCAGGAACAAGAGAGCTACACAAAAGGATGAAGAGTATCTACAGTATAAAGCAATT